CCTGTTTGACTTGTTAATAATATTTTAGTATAACTGAATAATAAATGAATACAAATAAAATAATAGTTTTTTTAATTATAAGTACATAAAAATCTAAAATATAATAATTATATAGTGAATTCATATTTTTTGCTAATTTGCTTTGACTTATTACTTGGTCAGAAAAATAATTATCATCTCCATAATAATTTATACACTTTAAAACAAAATCATCATTTAAAAAGTTGTCGATATCGGATTGAATACTGAAATAGCAATTAAAAATTCTGAATTGTTGTTAAATCTTTTTTTCATTTCGCTCAACATATTATCTATTACTGTAAAATACATAATTTGCACACGTTTGTTGAAGACGCAAATAAAATATTATTTTGGATTTTATTTGAAGTATATTTAGCATTTTTAGGTAGAGACTTTAAATTTGTATTAAACTTTTCATTTTCCAAACATAGTAAATCTAATAGTTCTTTAAAATTACCTTGATTTTTTGTAGTTTCTACGTCGTGTTCGTCAGGTTCGTCTTCATTTGAATATTCGATTACATTATTGTGACCACGTAAACCTGTATCCTGTCGTGCGCAATACAAAACTGAACGAATTACACTTTTTAATACTTCTCGATTTTTATTTATATTCTCTTCGACATGACTATTCATTTGAGTCGTAACACCTCCTATACTTTTTGATGATATATAACCTTGATATTTGGCTAATGATGTTTTATGCGAATCTGCCGAGTTATGTTTTTTTGCCATCCCCGAAATATTTTTCCAATTATTATATCCTGTGGCTATTAAAACATCTTGATGCTTTTCACGAGATATAGAACTAGTAAAATGACGACGAAAAAAAAAACAGAAAATTGCATCCAATTGAACAGAATATTCAATCCAAGGATAAACTTTGTACCAAGAACTTTGAAAACTTCGTTGTTTTTCACAAATTTTACGACGTGGAAAATTGATAATCGGCTGAATAGGTTGTTCATCACTATTTAAGCTAATATCAAGCACATTTAAGCTAGAAGAGGAAATAGAAGACTCGTTAGAAGTTGAGGTAACATTTAATTTTGACATTTTCGTTTGTGGTTGATCTATTATACTATCATCATCGTTCAATGTCCTTGTGGACTTCGGAATAGGTTTAAAAAACTGGCTAATCATATTTTTATTTTTATTTAATTATTAGTCAAGTTATAACCAATATAAAATAAAAAAGTACTTAGGTTATTCTAATAGTGTACATAAACAAAAACAGACAAAACGATTTCCTCGATCGGCTCGGTTACACACAAGTCACTATAATNATATTTTATAAACCATATTCATTATCTCATATCAAATGACGACTGTCGGCAGTAAACGGCCAGTGACGAATGTATAAATAACTCACTTCGGGTAATCGGATGTATTATTGTCTATTATTTACTATTTTTAGTCGTACATTTTAGCCGATAAGCAGTGCTGTGGCTACAATTGTTTGCGACGAAGGAAAGAATTAATAATAACGTATAAAAACGTATAAACGCTTGCTGTAAGTGGGTAATAAATAAATAATCTTTGTTCCAAAATGAATCAATTACATATCGTATTATGAAGAAAAAAATGTATAAAATTATGTTTTTTGAAAAATATTAATAATTATTATTTGAAAACAGGGTAGGCCTGGTAGGCCCAGGCCTACCTGGTGGGCACGCCACTGCTAGGATAATGGAAACGGGTATATCCACTGTTATATTTAATTTAATGTATACCTGTAAGCAACGATAAACCATTTCTAACAAAGAAACGATTCTGAGCGGAGTTCAGTGGGTAGTAATGCTTTTTCAACAACACAATATATGGTATGTGTCATATTACGGTAAAATGATTACAATAATGTGCGTTCCCATGAAAACAATGATTAATTATAACGAAAACTAATGAGAATTTCAAAAAATGATCGCTTTAAAGTACCACCCAGCGAACATTTCCTTTCAGAAAAGGTGCTATACTTGATAATCGGTGTAAGCTTTCTGGTAGAAAAAATACCCGCAGAAAAAAAATAAACATATTTGTAAAACCATAAGTTTCTTCGTTCCACTCAAAATCTAAAATCACAGGCAAATCGGCTAGCAATACATCAAGTTGCTACATTTTCTTTTAAAAATAACATATAAAATTACTAAGAATAAATGTTTGCTACGGCATCCGAAAATTTTTTTATATTTATACTAGTATAGATATCTGAGATTATCTATGGGAGCTAATTACGACGGAGTTATCTTCACAGATATACATCGTGGTCGGTGTTGTTTATATTGTTTGTCGTTTATTATTATAAACCGCAATATCTCATGAAATATTATTTATAGTAAAAAAAATTAAAGATACATTTTTTAGAAAATTATTTAAAATTAAATTATGTGTAGCTATTTTTACGAAAATATTTAAAGTTTAAGAGGTATGTGAGGAAAACCTTTTTTTGTGACCTTTGACCTCGAATGCATTTTTTTGCAGCAGTGGGATCAGTGAGGACTTTTGACATTTCGTTTGTCAATGAACATAACCTTACCTTGAGATGTGTACCGATTTTCAGATCTATGCGAATTATTCCGAGGTTAACATTTTAGATTTTAACCGTGGCGAAAAATATATTGGTTTTACTAAGATGTTTATTTTTTTTTTTTATTTCGACTGGACTAATAGGTATCCATTAACATGATATTTTATACAAATATATCCAAGCGCTCTTTATACTTGTTCGAATTTGTCCAACTTTAAGTCATTATTCAAAAACTTAGATGGTGGATCGCATGGTGTACATAATTATTACAGGTGAGTATGTATGTGTGTATACATGGATGTAGTGGCGTAGCCAGGATTTTTTTAAGGGGAGTGATTTTCTTTTGTGTTTAAATTTAACTTTGTAACTTTATTGTGCGCATGTAACACAATCATGAACTTATGTATATAACCTCTATAAAATACCTCGCTAGTGAAATTTAATTTTAGAAACATTTCTGTCATCAAAGCAAAATTGCTGGTAGAAAAGATGTATAGAGAAAAATAAAACTGTGATGAAAATCGAAAAATGACCTATAGTGAAGTTGCGCACAAATAAAAAAAAAAAAATAAACATCTTTGTAAAACTATAATCTTCTTCGCTCCACTCAGAATCTAAAAGAGCTTATACTTTTAACGGGTGCAGGATATGTTTCATATTTCATTTTTAGGTAGGTGCAAAACTAAATATTCCTGTTTACATAATGGACAACTAACAATATTAATGCGTATTAATTACTATTGTTGAATTTTCCCCGAAAATTGAAATTATTGCACTGTATTGCGTGCCAATTTTAATGGCCCACGTTTAATAACAGTAATTATATTAATTATATATTATACTCCGATAGATGTGTTTGTTATTATACGTATGAATATTTGTAAACCACTCTCAAATTAAACTTATCGAGTTTTACACGAACGGAACACGTGTTTTCATTATCTATGTGGTCGAAAATTAAATTAAAATGTCTTTTCATATTTTCATGGGCTTCGATTTGCCCGTAATATACTACGCATGCTGTGGGTTATTATTATTATAAGTAAAATACATATTCTGTGTATTATAATATTATATAAAAAAAAAAAAAAAAAAAAAAAAAAAAAAACGAATTTATTAATAAATATTACTCCTTTTTACGAAACATAACAAATGCTGTCTTGTGACATAATTGGTTTCGGAGATAGATGAGAGGTCGAAAGGGGCTCGAAATAACGGCCAATTCCCGTTTCCACCGAAAAAAAAAAAAAACTTTAAATAATTTTAATATTTGCTGGTATAACGTACAATACCTAGGTTAATGTTCAACTTTGATTCAGTTTAATGTAACCTAAACGACCATTTAACAATAATATAAAAATACCGTTAAGAGCAAAAAAATTATCAAAAAGATTAAAACCTACCAAAAAAGCAATTATATGAAAAAAAAATAGGTCCAATGAAATTGTTAAGGGTATACTTTTGTTAAGCCGGTTTCTTTTAATATGTGATTTTTAAAATTTTAAATAAAGTTATACGTGTATATATACTATACAATTATGACTGTAACGGCTTATAATATTATATTACTATACCTAACAACTTATTATTATTACACGTATTGGATAGTATTTTACTATGGCCTTTTTATTATTGACTTCGGTGTTTTTTTTTTTTTAGGTCCACGGTTTGCAAAATACATTGAACGGACACGTCTTTTTACAAAATAGATTACGGTGGAAACGATAATCGCACCATTTTTCGGTTTTAGCGGAAAAAGGCTCTGCCCGAAATGACTCATGTAAATATTACACAGGGCGTGCGGCCGAATCGTGCCTAGCACACTGCCGCGAGTTCGGATATTATGGCCATTTCTATTACATTTCAACCGAATAATATGTCTAATTGTCTATTTTAATTAGTGTTGTGAGAAAACCACAATCGGATTTCTATACATGAAGAAATGGTATTTCCATAACGAAGTTAAGATCATTCATTATTTCCTTAATACAAGTATAATTGATTTTTACTTTAATGATCTTTACTACCTACATGTTATTTTATAAATAATACTATATGTATATGTAATTGGACCCAGCCCGTTAGTTTTAATAAATAATTAAATAAATAATATTTTTATGACACATCACGGACGCGAAAACTAAAAAAATTTCTCGTTATGCTCCAAATCTAATATTGATTTTATAATAACCTTTAAACATCTAATATTAAATTTTTGGATTCGGAGCGTAAAAACGGACTTATTGACTATTGGTATTTCTATGATATGCTGTATTGAATTCAGATATTTTTTCTAGGGCGGGGGGCACTCTAAGAATTAGAGTTATTAATACAATTCAAGTTCAAAAAATGTAATATGTTAATTAATATTGTATAAATACATGTGTAAACGAAAAAAAATGATACCAACTAGATAATTTATCTTATAACTTAATAATAAAAACATGACAAACATATTATTTAAAGCGTATACGGCGATTTTTTTTTATTGCATATAAATCTATCACCTTTTCGATATACTCCATGGGTGGATCTTCATCGCCTTCTATACTAATATTCATATAATATTGAAGAGTATCTTGTCCCATTCGGTTGCGAAGTTTCGTCATAATTCTATTCATTGCACTAAATGACCTTTCCACTGTGGCTGTTGCAATTGGAACACAGCAAATGGATTCTCCTAATTTTTTTAGGTGTTTATAACCAATATTAGCTTCAAGGAGGTCAGTTATTGGACATTCTTGGGTTTCTACTTTCTGTAAAGCTACAAACATAAACGACTTATAATCTGATAAAACTCCATCTTTTTCGTTTTCATTTAAGTAGAAACAATTACACAACTGTTCTATTATTTTTATTGATGAATTTGAAAATGATCTGTAATTTTCAAATATTGAGCATCCTTCAAAAAGTGTTAAAGCAGTATCATTGAATCGACGATTCATTTCTTTTATGGTTTGTTCTAAAAAAATTGAAAGACAAGATAAAGTTTCTTTGAAACAATCGTCTTTTCTCGATGAATTAAGTTGATTTAAAATATCTGTAGGGTTTTTAATAATACTACTTTTGTTCACAACATCTTGTTTCAAACTTTCTAAAATATTATTTAAATGACATGTAGTACTTTTAATTAATGTAGGTAAACTTGAAATGACGAATTTTTTGTACCTTGCAATGTTAAGCTTAAATTTTAAATTGCGCCTAATATGTCATCCAATCCACACAAAAGTATTATAAAACTTTCTTCACGGAGACTTAGTAAAATTCCACCTGCTAAAGACGCTAAATCCGCCCCGTCTTGATGAATGTGTTCACAAGTAGTAACTATAGCAATATAGGACTGTTTAATTGCATAAACTATTTTATAATGACTTAACCATCGAATTTCTATTGCCTCAGGTATTTTTAATATTGGATCATTCAATATAACTTGTACTTTATGAAGCATTTCTTCTCGTTTTGGAGATTGATGAAATAGTTTATAAATATCTTTTAAAACATGAAATATGCGTTTAATTTAAGGAAACTTGTTGCGCATACTAGTTAATGCAAGTGATAATATGTGGGCTCGACAATGTATATAAGGAATTTCCCATCCTGCTTTTTCAGAAATAAATCTACGAACTCCGCCTTTATTTCCAGACATGTTTGATGCCCCATCAAAACCACAAGCAATAATATTATTATATGATAAATTGTGCTTAATTAACTCATTGCTTACCGCGTCTACGATTGTTTGAGCTTTGGTATCGGATAGAACAACAATATTAAGAAATCNTATAAGGTATTTCCCTTCCTTCTTTTTCAGAAATAAATCTACGAACTCCGCCTTTATTTCCAGACATGTTTGATTTGGATTTATTGGTATTACTATAACTTGTGTGTATTTTTTTTTTTTAATTTTCTTTTGTCTGTGTTGAAATATTGATAAAAGATTTATATTTTCTTTTTCTATATGCGGTGAAACTTTCTGAACATAAGAGAGATTTTTGAGCTATTTATACACATTTGAATTTTTCGAGTTTTTTACGTAATTTTTTTTTTATGTAGATACTCTGTAGATAAATTACTAGACTTAACAGAAATGCTTGAAAATTTGATATGAGGTTTATTATACGTTTTACTTAGTGTCAAAAAAAAAAAAAATTAGTTAATGTAATATTGTTTTTTTTTTTTTATAAGAGTTTTAAAATCAAATTTTGACAACAATCATAAATATTACGACCTTTCAAAATATGTAAATCCGAACTTCGCTCCGAATCGTTTTTCGTTATCAATGGTTTATTGCTAGTTACAGGGATCAATTAAATAACTTTAAGTACCCCATCTTCCCCACTATCAACCTACAACAGCGGCCGCACCCGTAGTATCAGCTCTTTTTTTTCTTTTGTTTCGATTCAGTTAAAAATATTTTTAGAGACTTGAAGTTTGGACAGAAAACTTATATTTACCTTTTCTAGGTGTAGTAAAATCTGGTGGTGATGTAGTCAACGCCAGATTGATGGTATTTGACACAAGCTGCATGCAAAGTGTGTTTCACAACTTCAACTCGACGCTAACACATCTCGAGGAATTTTTTATTATGGTTTTCAAAAATCGCGCGTATAATGCACAGTAAAATTCCTATAGGGATGTTTTTTATATGCACAATAAAAGATATACGTGCTCACACAAAACAGTAGTATACAAAATAAATATACCCAGCTGGTCTTACTATTTGTTTGAAAAAACGCGCGCATTTTATTTTCTATCCTAAGTTGAAGACCCCTGAATTGAAACGAAACTGCCACGTTGGCAATTATTATGAAACAGACGCATTATAGTTCATAACAGGCAGCTGGTTTGTACCGGTGGTACTTGGTGGGGAATGCGCGTAGCCCAGCGTAAACCAGTCGTCACCAGGTATGATCACTTTTGAAACCTAACCTTTTTTTTAATACATACATAATGCATTGAACAATGAACATCATTTTTCGTTTGTATAAAAACTGAATAGTTTGTTTTAGCCTGTAAATATAAGTTATTATTAATGCTAATTTTTTATTGAAATTTTATTACATATTACACCTGAGTAACGGATTTATTATAATTTATTTAAATACTTACTTATTTTTATCGTAATTAATCGGTTAAGTTCATAGTATTTAACAACAAATTACAAGTAGACACATCTATCATGGAAGTTAATAAGAGCTTTAAAAATTCTTCAATTAATTCAAAGTAAGTAAATTTGTTAAAATTATAACAATAATAATATTATTATCTTAGTATTTTAAAAATCACCAATTTCATTTTCTACTCACCTAACTACAAAAAATTGTCCCGCGACCATTCCCTGTCAAGAAACAATAAAAAGGAATTTCCAACCAGTTTCCATGATGCTCCTTGTTAAAAGTTATCAAAATTTCCGCAGTCTGAAAAATTTGTAATGACTCATGAGTGTAAACATACAGTTGTATTCAGAGAACTTCAAAATTACAAAAGCTTTAAAAGATATGTAATATATATGATTTAGTAAAATGTCATCTATTTGTTTGATGTATGTATAATTTTAATAATATATTACAGAATTTTTATATTTCTATTTTACATCATATGATATCTGATAATATTCATAACAATTGCACACAGTAAAGCAAGTAAGACTAAGACGATAATACACACCAGGAAAAAGAGGAACATACATTTCAACCCAACCAAAGACAGCAGCCCACAATTCTCTAGGACAGTAGTCCATTAGGCCAGTCCATCCCTGTCCATAACAATAATAACTATCGAATGTACTATTTATGAGATATAAAAGTAAAACCTTTAGGACTGTGGAGTAGAGAGAGATACCTAATTTATTTCAGTGTACATCTTGTATCTTTTTTGGAACATCACCATACCCTACTTTTTTATCTAAATATTAACCTATTATATATAAGTTGTAACTTATGAAAGGTATAATATGGGGTGTTAAAGTTATGCATATCAACAAAATTATTATCTTTTCGAATCTGATTTGAAAAGGAGGGAAATATGAAAATAAAAAGTTGATATATATTACATTCTCTATTAAGCTTATGGTATTCAGAATTCATTTTAAAAATATTGTAAATAACATCATTAAATGAATAAAAACTACAAAAGTACAAATAAGCATTAAAATATATGTACAAGGATACAGCGAAAAAAAATTAAGTATAGAAAGTTTGATAAATTCATTTGATATTGATTATTCTTAAATTTATTTAAAATTTATTAAATTTATATGTATACTTAATTTTGACTTTGAAGTGGAATTCACGTGTATATTTTTTATGAAACTAGGTACTAATGTGTACATAAATAAAATAATGACGTAATTATTATTTACTTATACTTATACTAATTTTTTTATTTTGATTTTTAGTTTAAATATCTTTTTAAATAGAAAATTATCAATTATTAATTTATTATTATTAGAGTGAGTAATAATAAGAAAGAATAATAATATAACATTTGATATCTTTTATTTGTAGAATGTTCATTCTTGTTTTCATTATGCATTTTGATGATAAATATCTCATTTAGGATAATTACTCTGAAATTATGAAAACATAAATTTTAAATACATAATTGTTAGTGGTTTATCCACTTGAAGAAGCAGAAACATATTTAAATTCATCTCTGTCTGTTAATATTAAAAAAATATTAACTGCCAACAGATTTTCAAATAAATTCATTATATCGAAAATTGATGAAAGGGATATCAAATCAACTGAAGAGTTTGTTGGAGATATATTACCAGATCTTATAAAAATAGATGAATATGTAGATCATTATGGCATATTAAAAAGAAATTTCCAAAAGATTCGGTTTTAAATCGGACAGAAAAAACACTTATTATGTATTTCTGATTTGTACAAAGAAAAATGAATTCTACAATTCATAGTCCAACTAACGGGACCTGAATGTAATAAATAAATCACTACCAAAGAAACGTGTACAAAATTGACTATTAATTCAGTAGAAAATAATGAGGAAAATATTTGTTTAAAAAAATCTCGATTAGAAACAATTAATGTTGATGTAACATCTAAAAAACTACCTGTTGAGGAAAGAATCACTGAATGGATTAAAATTAATTTAGTAAATTTATTTAAAAATCAAAATTTGGATAAAACAAACTCACATAGGAAACCTTACAGTTTCAAAACATGAAAAAAGTAAAATACAGACAATTAATCAACTTGTTGATTTTATTTAAAAAAAGAAAAAAAAACAATTATTGCAATCATTGATAGAACAAGTTAATTTAACAAATACATCAACTGATATTATGAAACCAAGTACTTATAAAATCAACAGAGTTTACGTGAGTTATTTATGACTAATGTTACTGATAGCTAAACCACCTTTAACAACAACTGTTGATTTAGTTTCACTAATATGGAAATCTGTAAAATACCAATGAAGTTTACCCTCAAAACAACGAAGAGAAAAATGCTTGATCAAGGGTAATCAGAAACAACCAGTAATAACATAATCTTTTCCTATTACTGATGGTGTCCAAAAGTTACACAATAAAAATGTAAATATGCAAATATTATTGCTAGAAAATGATTCATACCTAAAAAAACTCATTAGCAAGTCAAAATGTATCCACTATTTTTAATATAAGTTGATTTTTAAAATGTCTATATGAAACAGCTTTAAAAAATTTAAATGTTTCTTATAAAAATTTGCAATACCAAAATAAATTGAACAATAGAGTAAAAAAGTTTTCAATTTACTTATTTATTATTAGTGGAAGAGTGTTATATGAAAAATGTTTTACCTTCAATTACAACTATTTTTATATATGTGCATCAAAACTAATATAAAATTACGGAATAAACATTTAGGTTTTAAGAATTGAGATTATTTTTAATCCAAAGAAATTTACCTCTTCAAGCTTGGATTATTGAAGATGGTACAAGAATCCCAGGAAAAATTGAGTATGAAAAACATTCCATCAAATAAGTTGAATTGGTTCTTCCTTTAAAAAATGGACATCTTCAAACAGATAAATATATTGTCTCATCAGCTACATAGTTGGTAAATCATTTTAATTCAGAATTCTGAGCAAATTATACATATGTTATAATAACCCAGTCTATTGATGATTCTGCTCCATCATTTTTTTAAATCTATTGTACAATATATTAAAAATGAAGCTATGAAAAACATCAAACCTTTTTCAAATTATAATAATATACAAATATTAATGTTAAAGATTAGTGATCAATTTACACAGTATAATAATTGCGACTAGTGAAAAACATGTTACAAAAATATACCCTCAAATAGTTGTGGAGTCTATATTCGTAAACACGAAGGAGAAAACATATACATAATCATGAACTTCGAACTCCTTCAGCAAGTAGATGTGAATAAAAGTATAATTGCTTTATGGGAAGTTTAACTTCTATGTTGTAGTATAGATTTTAGGTAATCTTAGTTTTGAATAAAATAATTATGAGTAAAATTCAAAGCTCTGACTTTGATTTTTCAAATGTTGATAATGATCTTAAATATATTACCTAAAATATTTACACTTAAAATGATTTTTCGATTCGTAGTATGAATATCTGAAGCTTGAGTAGACATTTTGATGAACTTATTGTATTTTTAGATTCTTGTTATTCTATTCGCCAATTAATATTTAGAGTTGTTGTATCCTATGTTCTATATTAAATTTACTAAATTCCCACTTAAAACAGTGACACACATATTAGCTCAATCCTTTAGTTGTATTTAATAGCAATGTTATTATTATTATTATTATAAGTTAAAGTACCTTCCATTTCCAGTTATGGTTTCTATAACTCATAGGTTTCTAACTCAAACTCAAATTTTATTGTATTGTACATATTTTTTATTTGTATTTAATGATCTAAGTGATTATAATAATCATTTTATTTTTCAGATTAATATACAACTCTGAACAAGTAGGCGAAGAAATAAATATCCAAATTAAAAAAGAAGTAGACATCATTGACGGTTATGTTTTTGAGAGTCAGATAAGCATTGAAACAGATCCAATAGAATATATTTTGTATCAAGATTTAGATATTGGACTTCACAAATGTGGTTTTTGTAAGATATCATTTCCTCAAACATCCCAATTAAAATCCCATTTAAAAGTTCATACTGGAGAAAGGCCTTTTATATGCAATGTTTGTGGAAAGTCATTTACCCATAAAAGCAATTTAAAAACTCATTTAAGAATTCATACAGGTGAAAAGCCTTATAAATGTTATATCTGTCAGAAGTCATTTGTTACTAAAAACAATTTAACAACTCATTTAAGAATACATACAGGAGAAAAGCCATTTGAATGCGATTTCTGTAAAAAGACATTTTCACAGTTTTGTTCTTTATCATACCATTTAGAATCTCATACAACAGAAAGACCTCACGAATGTGTAAAGTGTAAAAAAACATTTATTCATTTAAGAGATTTTTTAAATCATACTAAAGAAAATCCTAATAAAAGTAAAACTCGTAAAATGACATTTCCTCATAGTTCCACTTTAAATATCCATAAAAGAACTCATGTGGGAGAAAAACCGTATAAATGTAATGTTTGTGAAAAGACTTTTAATCGAAAAAACTCTTTAAAATGTCACAACACAATTCATACTGAAGAAAAATTGTATAAATGTAATATTTGTGCGAAGACTTTTCCTCGAAAAGGCTCTTTAAAATGCCACAACAGAATTCATACTGGAGAAATATCATATAAATGTAATATTTGTAAGAAGTCATTTACTTATAAAAGCAATTTAACAGCTCATTTAAGAATTCATACAGGAGAAAAGCCTTATAAATGTTATATCTGTCAGAAGTCATTTGCTATTAAAAGCAATTTAACAACTCATTTAAGAACTCATACAGGATAAAAGCCTTATAAATGTTATATCTGTCAGAAGTCATTTGCTATTAAACCAATTTAACAATTCATTTAAGAATTCATACAGGGGTAAAGCCCTATGAATGCAATTTCTGTAACAAAAAATTTTCTCAGTTTTCTTCTTTAGCATACAATTTAGAATTTCATATAATAGAAAAAAACTCTAAATTCGGAGAATGTAAAAAGACATTTCCTTATTTAATCTCCTATAAATATCACAAAAAAAGTTCATACTGGAACAAAACATTAAGAATTTATGATGTTTAAGCTGATATTTTCTTTTAACATCACTTATAAATTATATTTAAAATAATGTATAAACAAATTTACTGTAGGGAAAGAGCATATCTATGTTACATGTGTAATGGGACATTTTCTCCAATATGATGGCACATAAAGAATTATCAAAGGATATTTCAAATGTTATTATTTGTCTACTTTGAATGTTATTATTAAATATGAAAAAGTTATATGATACTCAACAGAGTGAGGACAGGACAGACTAAATACAATAAATAACTTCACGCTTAAATGAGGTCTGTTGGACTCACCAGATTGCACTTGCAGTCACGCATAGACATTCAGGTACATTGCACAAGAACACCCAGAGTCAGGATTTAGAAGATGCTTCAACAGACTTCTTAAAGCGATGGTAGAAGCTAGAGAATGTCTAAGAAACGAATATCTACACTTATGAACCATGATTTAGACCCTAGCGTAATTTAATTGATTATCAATCTTTTTTTTTATAAATCTTAACCAAATGTTTGACATTGTTTTAACCCTATTTATTGACACTTTATTTTACTACTATCATAATTTTATTATTATTTACTATTCACAATTTGTATATCTCTATCTGTTATGTATCTGATTACTATGTGAAATATGGTATCTATTTTAATACTATGTATTTTCGAAACTAATTATTAAAATAAAAATTAAATTTTATCTTTATACAAAGTACAACTTTGTTAGTTGTCTGAGAAAACACAAATTTTTGAATTTTATCATATCAAGTTTACTAAAGACAACTAGTAATTGTTGCCCTAATTTTGGATAACGAAGAAAAATATTATTGAACTAAGAAAAAGCAGGTAAGGAAAATGTTTACTATAAGGATACTCACTACTCACTACTGAAAAGACGAAAAGACATTGCCGTGCAATCTATCAGTCTTAAGAAACACCACAGATCCTCCTGATCTCATATTAAACATGAGTTTTTGTATCCTTTTCTTCTTCTCCAGACATCATTTCCTCCTCCTAATACCAGCCCATAATACATCTTACGATAATAACTATTATCTAATACATACAATACACATAGTAAGTATTGTTGGAAAAAGGCGTATAATATAGGAAGCTATACTATGTTTCAGTTAAAAGTTAAATAAGATTTTAAGATTGAAAAAAAGCTTGCTATTGGCAATTTTTTTTTAATATGCATCCTTTTTATTAAATAATATATAAACTTTCTGAAATTAATCTTTCCAGTGAATTTAATTAAGAAGTAATTAAAATTGTTGGTGTAATGCAGAATTCTTGTTTTTTACAGTAGTTTTTAAAACTACAGAAGGCATACTTGCATAGTATGGCGATAATTTATCGCTGGTTATATTTTTTTTGCTAAAATCGATACATGAACTCATAAATGTCAGGAACATAATATACATTGCAATATTAACTATTAATTTCTGAATTCGATAAACCTCGCTATATAACTATGATCATTCAGAGTAGTCTCAGCTATCCTCGATGGTGAGGGTTTTTTTTCCATTAAAAAATCGATTGCGGATACACCGTTCTTAGCCACACATGATTTTAAAGAAAGTGCTGAATTAGGTTTTAATTGTCGTTGATTAGTAAAAGGAAAACCAATTTCGTAAAAATCCTCTGAAGTAAAATGATCTTGACAGATAGAGCCTATGTAAAAGTATTAAAAACATTTTTTAATTCGATTAGGGTAAACTAAATACTGCAACCATTGCCTTTTCCTTTCTTACCTTTCGACATAAAATTGTGTCAGAATTATAACTCAACATTTATACGTTTTTCCAAATTTTCACATTTTTTTTCAAGATATCGACGTTCAAACTTTAAAGTTTTCTAATTCAACATTTTCAAAATTAAAAACAATGATAAGAAATTTACAAGTTGATAATTATTAGAGTTTTAGGCGATTTGGTTGTTTTATTTTCGACCGAAATACTGTCGGCGGAAATATTTTTCTGTTTAAACATTTTCTGTTTAATTTTATATTCGGGTTAAATAATGTTGGTTGAAATAATTTCAGTTATAATACGGTTCAGTTGTTTTATAGCCCACCCCCACCCAAATTCTACTAATACGCCCAACTCGTTATCTTTGTCATCGGTATTGACTAGAGCGCTACCTATAATTAATTTCATTTGCGAAAAGTATATTCCAATAGCAATAAATGATAAGATAGCTCAGTGGTTCCCAAAATTTAAAAAATGGCCATTAAGGGGTTAGATAGACACTAAAGAAGCACAAATGTACAATAAGAAGCCAACTGAAAGACGACAATAGCCTAAGGTAGGTAAAAGCATCTTACTTTGGAAGTAATTCAAAAATACTTATAAGTCCGTCGCCACTCTCTAACATGAACGAAAATATTGGGGAAGCAGATTCTAAATGTGTACTCAAATTGCGGTTAGTCGGCTCGATATCACAATAATTTTAATACGCCAACCACAGCTGATATAATATTGTAGTAGTATAATACAATGGTGAGCTACAATAATTGTAAGTGACTCTGTGAATAATATAGGTAATTACTCGAGGTGCTCACAAACCAGAGCGCCAGCGGCAGCGAAAACTTGCTTGTTTTTATACATTTAAATAAGAGACCTCATAACTTGGCGAAATTGTTCGCGATGGTAAATTTTTCTACCGCAATACCTGCAACGAAATTATTATTTTTTCGCTGTATTATTATTGATAATTATATGTATATATATATATATATATATATATATTATTAATTAAATAATAAAGTAAAAACAAATTTATCAAAATGGTTAATACTCGAAAATAAATAAATGATAAATGCCTGTAATCGCCAGGAGTAATATGATAAATGTATTATACGACCAGTTACGAATTAAAAATTCATCGTCAGGTATACCGCAATCAAAATGAAAACGCAAATGAATATAAAAAAGTAAACGAAGAAAACAAATTATATAAATTGGTCGTTTTACATAGAAATAATTTATTTTAATAGGATAGATTATTTAAAATAGGTTATTATTAGACATAGATATGTTAAGAAATACAAATAATTTGATTATTGTTTATTATCTAAAATGTATTGATATAGGATATTTTTTTTTAAATAGGTTTGAACATTTAAAATATTATTAAAATTATTTTTCTTTATTTTATTGTATATAATATGTAACTCTTCTAAAACTGAATTAATGTAAATTTTATTTTGGGTATTTAATATATCTAAATCTGTATTAATATTATGGTTATTTTCTAATAAATGTTTGGCGAAATTTGAATTAGGGGCGGTTTAAATTTTATTCCAGAAATGTGTTCTTTATATATATTTTTTTTAAATTGCTGTTCGTCTTACCTGTATAAAATGTATTATAGTTCCATTTAATTTTATATATACCAGCATTTTCAAAAGAAAGGGGATGTTTTGTGAAGTTTTTAGTTCTACTGTTTATACGTTTGATTGAATGGATATTAGTCTTAAATGCGGTTTTTACATTATTTGTATTATTGGTCAGAATTTTAGCGAATTCGTTAGACATATTGTTTTGATATTCTATACCACAGTAGTTAACAACATCATTTGGCGAGTTGTGTATTATTTTTTTCTTTAAAACGTTTATGAATTTGTTTAATATGAAATTGAAATTATTTCTATTGCCATATTAATAATAATAATTGATAATATTGAGCTCGTGTTGATAATTATGTTTATTTAATGGAATACATTCAAGGCTATAAAATATTGAATTAAAACATGATATTCTTTTAGAATAAGGGTGATCAGAATCATGTCGTATTATAGTATCAGTTTGTGTAGGTTTTCTGTAAACACTAAAATCAAACCCATTGTTTAACATAGAAACTGTAATATCTAAGAAATTAAATTAATTATTTATTTGTATTTCGAGTGTAAATTGAATGTTTTTATTTATTTTGTTCAAGCAGTTGACTGAATGTTCTGCTTGTCTATTTGAACGTCTAAATAAAATGAACGTGTCCAGGCGACACATTCGTTAATTTATTTATTTTTTTTATTTTTATGCATACATTTTTTGTTTATATATTTAAATACTATGTATTATACTTAGATAATCTATGGCCGTGCCACGAATATCAATACTATTATTTATATCCGTGATTCAAGCTACACCATGGCTTTAGATACTACGGTTGCATATCGAGCCATGATAACATAAACCTATTAACAAATGGACTGCGCATTGATAGTATTTTGTGCCGCCAATATACGAACGTAGGTCGATCATGGATAAAAAAAAAAAAATTACTAATAAATATTTTACCCTAAAAACAAATTTACATCGCGAAACATGACGTATTTAATGAGTCTATAGAATGATAGACTTATTCATAAATAATAGGTATATGCTATTTACAGTGGCACTATCGTAGTTCAACAATTTCACCAAAAGAAATTAATTATTGTGTCAATGTGATTTTACTCGATACTTCTGTTCCGTACCTAAAGACAAAAATTAAAACGAATAATGTGTTGACCCACAATATTGATATTATATAGACTAATAATTAGTTATTAAATATTACTCGTGACGCGTGAATTAATCAGATTAGGTAGCATGTCTGCGAACGGTAACGTAATCTACGGATATAAAACACATGCACCGGAATTTCTATAGTTTACCGCTAGATAGCAGTGTTTATTATTATATTTTTGTATCGAGTCAAATATTACCTTATTATATTATTATCAATAAGTGATTTATATTCGTAAGCGTACGCAGACCTTGCTGGTAGAGAGTGCAGGGTATATATTATAATATGTAATATTATTTTGGTTATTACTTATTAGTAGGGTTCGAATTAATTTGATGGCATCAATAACAAAAAACATTTAAAATACGTAAAAAGGCAAAAGAAACCATTCATGTTTTATAAAAAGTAATTACAAAATTTACTTTCGCTTTGAAATCCGAACCCTGCTTATTAGTTAGTTCAATTAATATTAGTGATTGAAGTATTTTATACGTCATTAATTTAATCACAAATTTAATATAATAATTAAAATTTCAGTTTTCGGAAGGAAAATTGAATACCCTGGAGGAGCAGCTTCCCACCCTGCCACCCTCATTTCCGTGCGCACGCCTATGTTTATATTAATATGTAATAAAAAATAATCATTAAAATAACACGAAACGTTAAATACCTGATTAATATGATTTTACTAGACATTATATCGTGTACCTACTTCAATAAATCTATAAAAATAAATAATTTATTGGTGTACACTAAATGGAATTAATTCGTGCGTGAAAATTAATTTATTAGATATTAGCATTAACACTCGAGTTCTCTAATGTAGTAGTGTTCATGGGTATTAGATATCTATAATATTATATGACGAAATGTTATTATCCATGTCCGTAAACGTAATCTATGGATATAAAACGAGATTACCGGAATGTTTAAGATTTACCGACAGATGGAGGTACGTATACGATATTACATTTTATGGATTCGAATGTTTACCTACAATAATACGTAAATGATATTATTATAATAATTATATATTTTATATTATAGAATTGGTCGGGTCATAATAATGCGTCGACTCGACACTTTTTTTTTAGTATAATTGAGGTGTTCGACTCGAAAAAAATAAAACTAGATTTTTTTCAAAAAACCAAATTCGCGAAACTAATGTATTATAATTATTACCTATACTTAACAATGGTTGTGCTAAGGGCGGTATTAATCTTGAAAATAATATTCGGGAACGTTATTTGCATGGAATGATAAAAACCAATGATGGTTACCAGTCTACCGTGCGGATCGCTTCGCTGGCTAATTCGAATGGGAACTCGTGTCGGACTTTTAACCAAAAATAAATCCCGATTTGTTGACGCAAAACCGCACCGGAGGAAAAATGCGCGATGTAAAAACGCCTGTTTTACAGAGTAACAAAACTAATTATTTAGAAACCAACGGTTATTATCATTATTGTTATCTTCCCGATTGTTACATTCCTGCGTTTTATGCGTCCCCTTTACAACCAGCAGGCTACCGTGGAGGAACGGGCTTCTAGTGAATTTTCGTGTCGCTTTCAAATTATTTCCAGTGTACTGCGTCTTATCCATTATATCATCAGGCTTGATCTTTGCATAGTTATTATTGTTTGTCGCAATTAGACAGTTTTTGTGTGGCGTTACTTAGGGATATTTAATCCCACCCAGCGGACAGTGTTAAAATACAGAAAAAAAAAATAATATGACAATTATCGATATTTCATATTTCTGTACAATATAAACTTACCCCTGTAATAAAGACATCATAAAGTTTTACACATTGTGGTAATTCACGTATTATTCTATAAACGTGATAACGGAAATGTCGAGTTATTCACGTTATGGCACAACAACGTGTGTACTTTTGACTGTATGTTTGTCCAGCAACAGGGCCTGATCAACCAATAGTCTGAAAAGGCTGTAGCCTAAAACCGCGGCTTCTTAGAAGTTGAATAGGGAGGGGCGGGGTGTGTAAAAAAACAATTTTCGTTTGAAATCATTTCTTTCAAACGTGCATGTTGTAACTAAAGGTCATCTCGCCAAATCAGCCCCAGTCTACTGCAGGTGTCAAATCCATTAGCGTTCTGTGTTCACCACAATCATATACTTTAACGAATTCGGAATTCGTATTTTTATTTTTATTTTTTCTACTGTACTGCGATGAACGCCGAACCGATAACATATTCTTAAATTGCAATTTGTGTACGATGACTACACAATCATATATTGTACTGCACTTGCATGGCGAACCGACCGCGAAACTCTCGTGCCGCGGGCGCCGTTCGTTACCGTACACTTTCCGTTCAAAACCGAACACTTCCCATAAGTCATTTCCGCACACTTTTTTTCATCGGTTATAGCAGGTCGATTTTAAAGCGTCGACCGTTTAGAACCGCACGCTTTTGATTGGCATTTTAAAATTCGGCAGTCGTACGGACAACGAGTGATAATATGTGGCGCGCATACATTTATCTAAAACCAGATTGTCGTCTAAACTCTAAAAAACCACAGTCCAGTTAATCCGAATCTGAAATTCATATAAAAAATAAAAAAATACTTACGGCATTGTATATCGAACGATACTAAAATTTTGTCTATATTCTTCATAAAATTTTTACTATTTAGAAATGATCTCTAAAGAATATGCCATTATATAGAATAAAGTATGCTCTTTCGTTTGGAATAGTCAGATTTTCGAAAATCAGCTTAGAAATATCACTTTTTTCCAAATTAAAATTGAAAAAACCATGAAAATTCGCTATTGAACGATACTCAAATTTTGTCTATATTCTTCATAAAATTTTAACTATTTAGAAATGATCATAAAAGAATATGCCATTATATAGAAAAAAGCAAGTTCTTTCGTTTGGAATAATCAGATCTTCGAAAATCGGCTTAGAAATATCACTTTTATTCAATTTATAATTGAAAAATCCGTAAAAATTCGCTATCGAACGATACTCAAATTTTGTCTATATTCTTTATAAAATTTTAAGTATTTAGAAAAGATCTCAAAAGAATATGCCATTATATAGAAAAAAGTATGCTCTTTCGTTTGGAATAGTCAGATTTTCGAAAATCAGCTTAGAAATATCACTTTTTTCCAAATTAAAATTGAAAAAACCATGAAAATTCACTATCGAACGATACTCAAATTTTGTCTATAATCTTCATAAAATGTTAAGTATTTAGAAAAGATCTCTAAAGAATATGCCATTATATAGAAAAAAGT